CAAATCACCAATCACAAATCGATATTCTTCATCACGGCCTGGATCTCTACCATTTAGTCGTTGACACATCACATTACCACTATGTAAATCACGATGCATGAGTCCAGATTTATGAATTTGACATAAACCAGTGGCCATATCGTAAAGAATATCAAGTCTTTTTATAAAAGTAAGTGAAGAGAAATGTTTTTTCAAGTATGCAGACAAATCACCATCGTCAGCTAATGTCATTACTATCATATAACCTTTGAATCGGGGTCACGGGTCATACCGTAGGTGCGTAAGATATTGAAACGACCTACCACATGGTCGTTAGACATTAAATGGGATTTGAGCTATTTAATCAGAAAATGAAAAAAAGTATTTTTTTTTTTTAAATTAAAATATTCAATTTAATAAGAAAGTTAATAAATAATACTTTATTAATAAAATTAAAAAATATGCACCTCTTTAAAGATCTCGCTAGTAAAATCTTCCTCTTTTAATTCCAATAAACTTTTTAAAGCGACGTTGACGTTAGAATATCTTTCCCAAACTTCTTTTTCAGCATTCCATTTAGTTCTTGGGCCGTCAATCCATTTTGCAGAAAAAACTTCACCAAATCCACCTTTACCGACAGGTTTAATATTAGTTAAACAAGAGTAAGGAATCCACTCTAAGAAATTGAACTTTGTGGTGGCAGAAAGTTGAGTCTCTCGTATAAAGGTATCAATGATTTCGTTTCCACTAGTCCAGTTAGGAAAGTTGGATTTAAAATTATCTCGATCACATGTTTCACACCATTCATCAAGAAGTTTCTGTCGACCGCATTTATTACAGTAATGAATATGATCGTGATTTGTTTTTGTTGAATTTTTTGAAGCTTCATTATCAGAAGTTTTAGGAGTAACATTTTTTGCCTGAGAATTTAAATTCTCTTCGGTTGTGTTTTTACTTTCATCAGTATTATCCTTTTTATTATTCTTTTCGTCATTATTCAAACTATCTTTGACACTATTCAAATCACCTTTGACACTATTCAAATTATCTTTGATACTATTAATAACTTTAGGAGATTGAACCAAAGAGCTTAACATCTGTTCAATCTGATTTAATTGAGAACCAAGGGCGTCAACCTTTTGCTCTAATTGATGAATACCTTTTGGACGATTGTAAGAATATGGAGATGAATTATCTATCACTAATAGGAATTTCAATTGGAATATATTTTCCTTTGTGATCCGATTTTACTTTTACTTTATTAGGAGTTCGTAGTTTTGCATCATCTTTATTATTATTTATAGTGGAATTTATTGAGTCGGGATTTGTCAAGAAAGAGTTTGTGGTTTCGTCTTGGGACCTGCCAGATTTATTTGGTTTTAAGGTTAATTTACGAAGTAAATTACCTATAAACCCATTTTT